AGCTCTGCGTGTGGGAATCCCTTGCAGACGATCGCAGCTCAGCTCCTGGAGATAGACAGGTCTTGCATCCACAGTACTGACCAGAGGAGGAATGACCGCTGGGATGAGTGCAGAGAGAAGAAATGCCATGTTGCACTTGGAGCAGCCTTCTTCTGCCCCAGCTGCAACAAAACATGTCTCTCCTGTATTGGTCTCTACAGCCACAGCAGGCGCTGCAACCTTTCGGCAGTTTGACTTCATCCTAAGGGTGCATTCCTCCAGACAAATGCCAACAACTTCAGGAGTTGGGAGCTGGTGGTGTTCCAAATTTTGCTGGATTGCAATCTTGACCAGTGGCCACGCTGGCTGGGGCTGGTAGGAGATGGGGCCCAATAACATCTGAAGGACCACAGGGTTTATCCCACCTCCATCTATCTCACCAGTTCGTGAAGAGCATCTTTAATGGGTGCATACATAAGGCACAGAAAAGGAGAAGGGGATATTACTGCAAAGTGAGGCCAGAAGACCCAGGAATGGCAAAGGGAGGTGTGCTCCACTATTATGAGGAATCAAATCCTAACAAGGTCCAGTGAAAAAGGGGAGGGGAGGGGAGGGTGACTCACTACCAGCTGCTAGTGAACTGGCAGAGAATAGTGTACAGATCTGGCAAAAGATGATCTGGCAAAAAATAGACTAGAATTCTCTTCAGTCCGAGCCAGCATAGCATCACTTCTTGTAGTAAGCTGGTCACTCCCAAGCCCTAGTCCTATGGACACTTTACCTAGGGGTAACCCCAGGGAACACTGTCTTTCTTCGAAGTAAAACATGCATAACTTTATGCTATAAGGGCTTATCCACACTTCTGCTTGTCACACTGCTTTCCCTCGGGGAAGATCACTCTTTGCCATTTGTTCCAATTTAGAGCTAAAGAGTGGGTTTTCCCTGGGAAAGGAGTGGGGCAAAGGGAAAATGGCTTCAGCCTCTGCTTTCTAGGCACAGGACAAGCAGAAGTGTGGACAAGCTCTTAGCCTCTATTCCATGGGTAGGCAAACTGAGGCCCAGGGGCCGGATCCGGCCAAATAACCTTCTAAATGTTGCCCGTGGAAGGTTCGGGAATCAGCATGTTTTTACATGAGTAGAATGTGTCCTTTTATTTAAAATGCATCTCTGGGTTATTTGTGGGGCATAGGAATTCGTTCATTCCCCCCCCCCAAAAAAAATATAGTCTGGCCCCCCACATGGTCTGAGGGACAGTGGACTGGCCTCCTGCTGAAAAAGTTTGCTGACCGCTGCCTATTCAGCCCTTGTCTGATCATGTCAAATCTGCCTTTGAATTTCTGTTCTGTGGCTTTGCACAGAGTCTTTCTGTTTGATTTTTGTTTTTAATGCATTTATTTATTTTGTATGGCCACTTTCAAGTTTTGTCCCGAATGCTCTCCCTGAGTTGTTACCATTTGTCATGCCCGATTTGTGCTCATTTATTCTCATGCTGACAACACATTTGGCCAATGTAAATGGCAGAAGGCCATGGCTGGCACATGATGGCATATACATCATATTAGCTGCGTTTTCCCAGAGGATGAAGAGACACAATAAAGTTGAGTTTATTATCTCATAATGAACACTGTATTGGTTCATATGCAGAAGCATCTCCTCTGAGCTATTAATGATGTTTGCATCGATTAATAATGTTCTCTCTCCATGCTGTGCATTAGGGCTGGTACAAAACATTGCTTTCCTACAGAGCAATTTGAAGGTCTTAGTGCTAGTTGGTGACTTCAGCCCAGATCTTGCAACACTTGTAGTTATAGGAGAGGAAGAGTTACCCACCCAGAGCTGCCAGCACTATTGCTGAACTATTTGTATTCAGGCACATCCTTGTGTGTTTGTGCCAACCTTGGCCACCTGACAGCTAAGATTGCTGAGAAGTCAGGTCACTTATGCGGACAGATGTTGTGTGTCCCCCCCAATGCAGTTGTGCATGGTAATTTTTTTAATGAGCTAAACCATTCTGTATATTTAAAACCAATTTCATAACTGTGCACCTCAGTTGAGGTTTGGGGGAGGAATAATTTATTATCTCATTATCGGTGATGTCACAGGCACTGACAAGTAGGTGCTTATTGTACTTCCAAAAGAAATCATTGTATTTGGGTTTTTAAAATTTTTTTTTAGCAGATAGCCTTCACTTACTACAAACTCCTAAGAACATTTTGCCAATGACTGACATTCAGTAGCAATAATTGAATTGTGAATCATACGCAGTACTAGGAGCGCAAGTCGTCTTCTACACCATTGAAACATTTGCACAAGCCTTCAGCTGCCCTTCTTCTGACAGAGTTCTTTGCAGCTCAAAAGTTGGATGCTCCTGACTCAACAAAAGTCAGTAAATACATTATTTTGCGTCAGGTGTTTTAAACAGCAATGTGGTCCATCTTTCTCTTGTGTTTTATGTTGGAAGCTACTTTGAGTTTGGAGACCAGCTGCAGGCAGAAACATAAAAAAGAGCATGGTTAAAAACCCAACCTTTCACCCAGGCCTAGTGTTCTATATTGGAAGAGGTTGAAAGGGCTAGAATTAAGTATGTATTGACAAAAAGCTCCTAATCCAATATCTGCTTTAGTTTACTGGCCACAATATTTGGCAAGGGGACATGATGGAGTACTGACATAGGAAGGATACTCCTAGTGAGTAGACCCTGCTGAGGAAAAGCAGCCGCTCACACTGCTCCAGCCAAATGAGACTACCAGCAGGGCTTCTCCATCATGACAGCAACACAGATCCTGGGTTGCAGCCCCTCCGAGTCAGGTCCTGCTTTTCTGTAGGTTAATTTGCCCTGCGAATGAAGATGCCACCAAACCCAAACTGGATGCATCCTTTCATTAGCTGTGCATGAATTTTGTGTTGGAGTGATTGAATGTGACTGCAAAGCACATCAGCACTGTTAGAAAGCAGCCAGGCCCTCAAGCTAAACTATAATGAGAGCCTTAGGAAGGAGGGGTGGGGAATACACACAGTACTCTGTCTGTCCACCACAGCAGTCTCAACCTTCCCATAGTATGCACTCACACGGACAAGCATATTTATCTATATCTCCTCTCTTTCTGGAGGGGAAGCTGTCACTGTGCTTTCAGCCATTCAGTTACATTCTTGCTGTTGTTTTGCCTATTCCCACAGTCACTTACGATGGTCTTGCTATTGGTGTTGTTTGGTTAGCCTTCTTGCCTGCTGATCATTAGATTTACTTTCAGGTCCAAATTGTTTTCATTTGTGAATTATTTCGGTTTGCTTTGGTTGCAATGGGAGAGGGAAAGCATTTGACAAAGTAACTAGATGGATAGACAAACAGACAGACAGATGACGGACAATAACATGTGAAGCAAGCAGTGGATGTCACAGCAATTGCTAGGAGCCAGTGTGGTGCAATTGCTGGGAGCCAGTGTGGTGTAGTGGTTAAGAGTGGTAGACTCGTAATCTGGGGAACCGAGTTCGCGTCTCTGCTCCTCCACATGCAGCTGCTGGGTGACCTTGGGCTAGTCACACTTCTCTGAAGTCTCTCAGCCCCACTCACCTCACAGAGTGTTTGTTGTGGGGGAGGAAGGGAAAGGAGATTGTTAGCTGCTTTGAGACTCCTTCGGGTAGTGATAAAGCGGGATATCAAATCCAAACCCTTCTGTGACAACTGGAGCTGGGGAGAAAGTGCTACTGAGTACTTGGGCATTATTGTGGTCCATAGTTCTGACTACTCATTTCATACATTTATGTTTTCTCACATAAGCACATGCTTGGCAAGGTTAAGAGGAATCTGTGGAGCATCTGTTTTGCATGCAAACGGTCTCAGGTTCATTCCCAGGTAAGCATGGGAATATCTCCAGCCTGAAACTCTGCTGATCAGTATAGTTGGCGCTGAACTGGATGGACCAGGAGTCCAACGCAGTATCGCATCAGTTTGCTGTGTTCCTCTATGTCAGGAGTTTCTCCGCAGGCGAAAAGTGTATTGTCCAAATCAACCTTTGCAAACAACTGTCTGGGGCTCAGCTGGAGAAGAACCCTGCCTGTTAACAGGATCAAAGCTGTTATCAGTAGGATGCCATAGTCTTGGCAGTGCCGCACTGATCAATCAGATGTAATAGTATTGACCTATCAACACCACTTACTGTTAGCGCAGCAAGAGGAGGCTTTCGCTTTTTAAAGCGTATTTCCCAGAATCAAGTGCGCCACCTAGTGGCTGTTGGCCACATGTGCCGGTGAATCTCTTCACTAAAACCAGGTTCCTATAGAAACAGGATTCCTTAGACTCCTGGCATTCCATGAGTAGGGCACAGGGGCATTAAGGGCTATGGACTTCACAGAGGCAACGTCATTTGCCAAAACAGAGGCTTCTAAGCAGGGATAGACTTGCACTGGAAGGAGGGCAGGCTTATTGCAGACCCACCCACACCCGATCCTACCTATCTTGTAGAAGCTGCTCAGAATCTTTCCTCAAGCTCATGTTCCAGTGAAAAGGGCCTGGGCATAGACAGGATTTTTGTTAGGGGGAGGCAGGCCTTTTCGGGGGGCAGAACCTCAGTTAGCTATGTATTTTTATTGATTTTTATTGATTGGGGGGGCGCTGCCCCTCCCTGCCCCCCTTGGCTATGCCCATGGAAAACGGCCTTAGTGTGAATCCTTAGTGCACATTTGCAAAGGCTTCGTTAGACATCTACATACAGGATCTTTTTATATGCAGATTGCTGGTGCAAGAAGTTTCCATACACTAAGAAAGCTGCTTAGATTTTACAGAGCAAGTCTATATAAGTCCCATCAAATTCAATTTGACACCTGTCCCATTGAATTCAATGGGATTTACTCTCAGGTTACAGCTTTTAGCCCTGCTGGCAGGAGTACCAAGGAGGGGAGAGGTGTCCCGCTAGAAGCCCTGCAGGCTGTAACTACAATCTCTGAAGAGGGGAGGTTAATCTACCTCTGCTTCCTCTGGCTGAGGTAATTTCTCTGTGCTTTTGTGGAGCAGGTCAGGCGGTGTTTGTGTAGTGTAGTGGTCAGCACATCGGACTAGGACTAGGGAGATGCAGGTTCGAATCCCCACCTAGCCATGAAGGTCACTGGGTGACTTTGGGCCAATCCCTATCTCGCAATCTAATCCCCTCCACAGGGTTTTCGTGAAGATAAACTGGCAGTGGTGGTGGTGGAAGATCTGCAGTATGTACTTTGCTCTGAACTCTTTGACATAATACAAAGGGAATAAATCCCTATGGAGACTTTAAACATCTTGTGTATGAACAATACTATCAGGCCCCCTTGCAGGGGTGCCAACTTGAATAAAATATTGGGGGGGCAGGTAAGCCCTGTCCCCATAATCAATCTCACACATACCATTTGAATGCCCATCAACTTGGTGGAAGGCCAGCCCCCTCAAATATTTTATTGGGGGATCCGAAGGGACCTTGGCCCCTAGGAGTTGGCTCCTACGCCCCCATGCAATGAAAATGTATCAAGATACATTTCTGAAAGTTTAGATCTGTTATATATGTCATCTCTTAATCCCACATCCTAATCATCCCAAGCCTTTAAGCTTATTAAGACTGCAACCCTATTCATGTCTGCTCAGATGTAAGAGCCATTGAATTCAATGGGGCTCACTCCCAGGTAAGAAGGGTTAGGATTCCCACCTCTCTTTGGCTGTGTACACTTGACCCTTTGCTCCAGGCTCCAGTGTGCTCCCACTATTGGTGTTTGAAGCTGACCACCCATAAGGTTAGTCACAATCCATATTGTCAGGGGTTCAGGAGCAGAGGCACAGGAAAGGGAGGAAATAGAGAGCGAGGGGGAGGAGTCCGAAGGAAATGTTAGCGATGACAGCGGTCCGAGGTCTCTGAGTCTTTCCAGCGAATCGGAAGATTCACAGAAAGGGGCCCCTTGGTCAGAGCAAGGGGGTGCCGAGGGGACACCCCAGGAAGAAGGGGCCAGAGGGGACTCAGAGAGCAGCAGTTGGAAATCAGGACCAGCGTCCACACCAGAGTGCAGTAGGGGGGGGGAGTCCCAGGCATCGGGATCAGGCGGCGCACTGCCAGTGGGAGGACATGAGTCAGGATTGGCCACGCCTCCATCGGGGAGCGAGGAAACGGTCGAGAGGAAGGTTGAAGGCTGGCGCGCGCGCCAAGTTCAAATGTACAGGAGGGCGGCGCAGTTGGCAGCCCGGATAGGGAGCCAGGTCCCAAAGCCCGCCGAAAAGAGGGGGAGGAGTCAGGGGGTCAGCGTCAGAAGAATCCAGGAAGGAAGGGACCCCGGGGGGTAGCAGGACCCAGAGGAGAAAGGAGAGACGTAAGAGGTGGAGTAAGGCTAGAATCTTAAACTGGTGTACAGGGGGCGGAGACTCAGATGGAGCTTCGCCGATCTAACCCCTAGACGTAGAGCTGGGGCGCTGCGGCTTGAAAATGGAAACTGTACTTCAATAAAGACTTTTGTACATTACTGCCGGCTAGCGTTGGTCCTCTGTGAGCTGGGACCTGGAGCCAGCTCTGACAGTAAGCTCCATCTCTTAAAGTTTTGCACCAAAAACCTCGTAACGTGAGTGGACGCAGCGAGGGAAGAAGATTGGTGCTTCGCGAGCTCACAAAAGTCAGGCAAGATGACTACAGAACAGCAACTAGCAGCCCTGCAAAATGCAGTGACACAACTCAACGCGGAGGTACTCGCATCCAGGAAAAGGGAAGAGGAAGCGGCTGCCGCCTGCAGGGATCTCCAAGCCAGGTTGGAAGTGCTTGCTAAGCAGGGGCAACCGGGACCCAAATCAGAGGGGATTGGGCTGGGGAAAAGAGGAGGCAGCCTGGTATCTCATTTCGATGGGAATTTGCAGCAGTACCCTAACTTCCGAGCAGACGTGCTGTTTGCGCTGGAACTGCTGGATAAAGACTTTAGAGATGAGCAAGAGAAGGTGGGGTTTATCTTGTCCCATTTGCATGGGGAAGCTAAAGCGTGGCTGCGCAATCTGTGGAGAGATAAGGATCCGGCGCTCCAAAATGCGGATGCATTCATTAAAGCGATGGATTCGTGTTTTTTATCAAATATAGACATTGATATCGCCAGAAAAGACATACATGGGCTCAAACAAGGCAGAGCCAGTGTAAGGCAGTACCATTCCCGCTTTTTTGCATTAGTCCATGCGCTGGGATGGGAGAAGGATTCTGCCCCAGCCAGAGACCTTTTTTGGGAAGGCTTGAATGCAAATGTGAAAGATGAGATTGCAAGGGGGGAGAGACCAAAGAGCACTCAGGAGGTTGTCCGGCGGGCGCTGCAAATTGGGGTGCGTCTGGAAGAACGTCCATGGAACAGAGAAGAAGGACGTTGGGGACGTACGCCAGTGAGAGCACCTCCCCTCTTCCCAAGGATGCAGCGCGTGTGCAATCCCCACCTCCGCAAGGAGGGGGAGAGCAACCGATGGAGATTGGAGGCGCCAGGGCTCAGTCAGCAACCAGAGCCCTAACACCGGGAGCAGTCAAAGCGAAGCCTCCTAGAGGGAACAGGAAGTGCTACATCTGCGACAGTGCTCAGCACATGGCGAAAGAGTGTCCCCAGAGGCTCCACAAGCACACTGCAGCCTCAGCAACAGTAACAGACGCAACTCAGCACAGAGAACCACAGCAGGGAAACGACAGAGTCTGGTTGGAGGAAGAGGCACTGGGGCCCAGCCAGACAAGTCAATGAAGCCGTCCCCAGAGATTTTGCAGCCCACAGACCCCTCCCGCCCAAACCAGTGGTGCAGCTCACAGCATCGCTCCAACTACCCAATGGACTCACTATGGAAGTGCCGATTACCATTGACTCTGGTAGTAACGCAGACTTCATAGGACTGGATTTCATTCAAGAGCACAACATAGCACTCCTGCCAGCCACGCTGCCTCTGAAAGTTGTCACGGTGGATGGCAGGGAATTGCTGGGGGGGCAGGTGGTGCAGCAAACGCCTCCGATGATGATGCAAATTGGGAATCACCGAGAAGTCATCAGCTTCAATGTCACCCAACTGTCGGACACGCCTATAGTATTAGGCATGAGTTGGCTGCACAGGCACAGCCCAGCATTGGCGTGGTACCAGCGACAACTGACCTTCGGCTCCTCATACTGTGCGGAACATTGCATTCTGCCTAGCCCGGAAGGGGAAGAGGATGACCCGCAGCTACAATTAGGCACGCTGCAAGCAGTGCCACTCAAGTACGCAGCGTTTTTGGAGGTTTTCTGCGAGAAGGAAGCGGACAAGCTACCTCCCCACAGGTCCTATGACTGCAAGATTGACCTCCTGCCGGGGCGACGCTGCCAACCGGGAAACTGTATTCCATGTCTGAAGACGAGCTGCAGGAACTCAGGGAGTTCATAGACCTCAACTTGAAGCGCGGTTTCATCCAGGAGTCGAAGGCAGTGGGGGCAGTCCTGTATTCTTTGTGAAGAAGAAGGACACGCCCCAAAAAGGCTTGTGGTGGACTATAGAATTTTGAACTCGAAAACCAAGCCCACAGCCTTTCCCATGCCCAAGATAGATGACCTGCTCGCAACGGTGAGGAAAGGACGCGTTTTCACAAAGTTGGATCTGCGAGGGGCGTACAACCTGATTCGCATACGGGAGGGCGACGAATGGAAGACTGCCATGTTCACGCCCCTGGGCACCTATGAATACAGAGTTATGCCCTTTGGATTACAAAATGGCTCCCACTGTTTTCAAGCCTTCATGCATCACGTATTGGCGGGTCTCCTCTACAAGAAATGCGTCTGCTTCCTGGACGACATCCTGATATTTTCAGAATCAGAGGAGACCCACGAGGGAGACGTCAAGGAAGTTCTGCAGAGACTGCAGGAGCACAGGCTGTACGCCAAGCTGGAGAAGTGCCAGTTCGACATGAAGGAGGTAGATTTCCTGGGCTACAAGTTGTCGGACAAGGGGCTCGCCATGGACAGCGCCAAGGTTCGCTCAGTGTTGGACTGGAAGAGCCCGCGCAATCGGAAGGAGGTCCAGCGGTTTGTCGGTTTCGCCAACTTTTACCGCAAGTTCATCAAGGGGTTCGCGATGCAGACGGCGGCCATTACCGACACGCTCAGCTCCAAGAAGAAGAAGTTCATCTGGACGGAGCAAGCGGAGCAGTCCTTTCAGAAACTCAAGCCGCCTCTTCTCGTCCGAAGAGCAGCTACTGCATGTGAATCCCAGCAGACCGATGAGGGTTGAAACGGACGCCTCAGACAGAGCCGTGGGAGCAGTACTGTTGCAGCAAGACCCGCATGGGGACTGGAGACCGTGTGCCTTCTACTCCAGGAAGCTCAGCAAGTCAGAGCAGAACTACACCATCTGGGACAGGGAGTTGCTGGCCATTCATGCAGCATTCAAGGCGTGGCGGCACTTCCTCATTGGAGCCAAACACACAGTGCAGGTCCGCACGGACCATAAAAACCTGGAGTACTGGCGCACGGCAAGGTTTCTGAACCGGAGGCACATACGATGGGCGGAGTTCTTTGCGGATTTCGACTTCAGGATAGAGTACATCCCAGGCGACAACAACATCATGGCGGATGCACTGTCCAGAAAGCCGCAATACCTCGAGGAGGCGGCACCAGCGGCGGCCAAGCACATTTTCGCACCGAAAGCGTGGGCGTGCGCTTCAGCAACCGTGGACCTGGATGCTGTACGTCGAGCACTGCAGGAGGACCCCTTCGCGCAAGCAAAGATGGCAGAGGTGCAAAGGGGCACGGCGGAGGACGACGAGTTCCAGATACGCGACGGATTGCTCATCCGCAGAGGGGCCCTCTACGTACCGGGAGACGACCTCCGCGCGAAAGTACTGCAGCAGTTGCACGACGCACCCACCGCCGGGCACTTTGGCAAAGAGAAGACGGTAGAATTAGTAGCCAGAGATTTTTGGTGGCCCAAGATGCGGGGGAAGTCGCGGATTACGTCTCGAGGTGCGACACCTGCCAAAGGGCCAAGTCAGTGCACAAACCGCCGGCGGGACTGCTCGAACCGCTGCAGACACCGCTCGAACCGTGGGAGAGGGTGGCCCTGGACTTTGTCACGGATCTACCCAGCTCGAGGGGCAAGACGGCAGTGCTAGTGGTGGTGGAC